TTCTGGGAGTCGAAGTCCACTCATCTTAAAGTGGCCAAGTTTGGACAACACTGCTTTAAAGTATGGGGCAAAAGCTTTGTTTTTGCACTTCATGGGCTGTATTCAGTTACTGCTATTTCTCTTGCATTATTTTCAAAAATCCAAAGTATTCAGAGGGCCTCTCTTCTGGGAAAACTGGACAAACAAACAAGATCCTGAAGATACATATCTAATAAATAAATAAATCTTCCATGTCCACTGATACAGACAAAAATGAGTCCATGGGACTTTTTGCCTCACCCCAAAGCTCCCTTGCATTTATATGAATTAGTCCTTTAGAATTAAAGCACAGTATTTAGTCTGAGCTCAAATGAATGCAAATAAAATAACCTTTCTCCACTGCTTATCAGTTAACAGCTGAATGTCCAAACTGGGTTTTAGTCATGTCCAAGATATGTTGAAGTTATTAGAAACATCATGATAAGAAGGATGGAGTGCATCTGTGCATATAAACACCAATGTCCGTGTGTGTGTGCATGCCAAAAAATTCAAGATGGCAGTCCTGACGGCATGACTGAAGACCTACCTGTTTTGTACATGAATCAGTGTAGCATGCCTGAAAGGATGGAGGTTTGATTGTGCTGATGTGACCACCATCTTGGCTTTTTTTATATCCCTGCCCCCCCCTCACCCCCCAGAAAGAGGGGAACAGAGAAGTAGATGTTCCCCTAATCACTATGAAAAAAAATGACAAAAAACTTTAGGCCCTGAAGGATTATCAGGAAGTGAGAATATAACTTGCAGTTTGAGATTTTGCTACCCTGAATGTCATGGACTATTCACTGCAGTGTTTTGGCTAATCTAAAAACTATTATCACTATTCATTCAAAAGGGATACTCTTTGCAATGGACAAATTTTTTAAATTTACATTGGAATAAAACCAGAATTCTATTTGAATCAGCAGCTCTGCCTGGGATAATCAGATACAAAAGAGGGCAGGACTACTGTCTAGGTGAGATTTCCAGTAGGTGCAGTTTGTCATTTGGGAGCAGGAGAAAGTGAATTGTTGGAAATTTCCGCTTTTAAAATGCATTAAATGCTCTCTGTTGCATTTGGCGATTCTAGAGGTATCCTAATCTCAGGTTCATATTACACATAATTAAGATGAACTTTGATCCCTGTGAAAAATGCTGCAGTGTAGAATACTCTGGGATTTGAACTATTTCATTCTAATCCCTCTTGTTTTCTTTTTTCCCCCAAAGGTCATCAGCAGAGAATTCTAAAAAGTAGCTTTCTCCTAAGATTATTTTTTTCTAAATATCTTCTGTAATTCAGCCTGCAAAGATTTTTTTCCCCTTCTTTTCACCCCCTTACCCTTTTTTGCATCTCAACTTGCAAGATGCAACTTCACCCCAGTCATGTTTTAATTCCACCTTCTTTGTCTACTTCAATGTTTCTCAACCTCAGCAACTTTAAGAGGTGTGGACTTCAACTCCCAGAATTCCCCAGTCAGCCATGCTGGCTGGGGAATTCTGGGAGT